TTCACAAACAAATTATATATATATATATATATATATATATATGCATATATATATGCATAGATATTATTTTATAGGGAGGTTGCCCTTGAATTGCAATTGAAGTCCGTGGAAGTTTCCGATAGAAACACCCTTAGATGATATCTGTATCTCTTCTTGTAGTTGTCGTCCTCGTACATGTTCTTGTGTCCCACCCTCCCACTCCAACCTTTTGCAACCCAAAAAAATCGCATTCTATTTTTATCTTTCTATTATAAGAAAAGAGTAACTTCATTTTTAATCATTTTTATTTGAATTTAATTTTTTTAAATTTCTCTGATGAATATAATTAATTTTTCTTGAATTAATTTTCTTTTAGCTACACATAATTTTTAAATCTTCAACTTATCTGAACAATTGAAAGTTTAGAAAATATTAAAACTTCTTTGACAAGTTTAATTAGAATGCATACATTTAATAAAATTTGAAATATTTTATGAATAAAAAAATATTTTCCAGAGAAAAAATTTGGGAATTTCACTTATTCACGTCTTGTATCTCAATTATTATTTTGAACCCGGCCTTATTATCTAGTTTAACCAAATTGGGCCTAAGATCCTGGCCTTATTGTCTAGTTGAACCAAATTGGGCCTAAGAACCGGCGTGACTCAGGCCCAGACCCAGAGCATTGGGCGGTGAATTTGACAAGTGTAGTTGAAGAGAAAAGAGAGGAATGGTTAATTAAAAAAAAAAAAAATGGGAGAAGAAGAACGGAGTGCGGCGGTTCTGCCATGGATGCGCGACCCCGTCGACGTGACTCTCTGTAAACAACTCTCCCTCCGTAAGGTTCCTTTTCTCAACCCTAGGTACGTTTTATTCTACTGCTGCACACTTTCCCTGCGCTCGTTTGACCAAATCAATTTCACTCACACGTTGCATTCTCACCAGTTTAAAATCCGCACTAGAAAGCATCGGAATCTCCGAGCTGTTTCCCGTTCAAGTCGCGGTTTGGCAAGAAACCGTTGGACCCGGTAACTTGGACCGTGACCTTTGCATAAACTCGCCTACCGGCAGCGGCAAAACCTTGGCCTACGCTCTCCCCATCGTGCACAAGTTGTCCACGCGCACCCTCACGCGCCTCCGTGCGCTCGTGGTTGTTCCTAGCCGTGACCTAGCTTTGCAGGTTAAACAAGTTTTCGACACTCTCGCGTCGCCGCTAGGCCTCCGTGTTGGCTTGGCCGCCGGACAGTCTTCGTTGAAGGATGAAATTTTCAGTCTTGTTCAAATGCCTGGATACGAGGATGATCCATATGTTTCGCATGGGTTTCGATGCAAGGTGGACATATTGGTGGCAACTCCGGGAAGGCTTGTAGATCACATTGGAAACAAGAATACTACAGGCTTTACACTTGAGCATCTTTATTATCTTGTGAGTAGTAGAGTGATGAAATTGGTTATTATACCCACTTATTTCAAATGTGAAAGTATTTAATTTAATTATAATTTACTCATACACTATACTAATATATTAATTGTTGCACATGGATCAACTGCTTAACTAGTAGTCTTGAACTGAGTCCTGAATATGAAGCTAGTCTTATCCAGCTTGAACAAGATTGTGTCTAGTGAAAGATAATTGTGATCTAGATATAAAAAAATATGAATTGTTGTATATGGTAAGATTGTATTGTTGGGTTTAACAGTAGTATTTAGAATTGATTCTAATTGATAGAATAAGTAAAGATATTTATGGTTGAAAATTAAACTTAAATGTGAAAAGTATATGTTGATTTTCTTTTTTTTTTTTATTGTGGTGTGGTTTTCCCCCTTTTCTAATGTATTGACTTGGTAATCCATGTCAGGTGGTTGATGAAACAGATCGGTTGCTTAGGGAGGACTACCAGTCCTGGCTGCCTGCTGTGCTTGAATCAACCCAATCTAATGATGATGTTTTTCAATCGGGAGTGTTGAGAACCGTAAGAAGATGGTGAGTTTAAAATTCATTTGATTCTCCTTTGACATGTTCGTATCATGAAAAAATGGAATGGAGAAAATTATGTGTTGATATGTTGGTTAAGTGCACAACTGCTGCTAGTTGATTATCTAAGTTCTGATAGTGATAATATGTGTTAGTAACCATGTTAAATAGAAGAAAGTTAAAAAATGTACTAAATAAGTAGGGCGTTATTCTTCAACTAGGTGTAGTTATATGCTTTTGGTTGCCTATCCTGTTATCCATGATAACAATAACATTAAATTATTGGTTGGCTTTTTAAAATGATGTAATTTAAAATTTTAGTTCAACTCTAAATTAGAAATTACTTAATATTGCCATTATAATACGATTGACTACATGCAAGAAATGAATGCTCATCATACTTTTGTGTGCCTGTGTCTGTTTCTGTAGTGGTGGAGTTGAAAGGGGCTTCAAGCCTAACCCTAGGCTGACAAAGATGGTTTTATCTGCAACATTAACTCAGGACCCAGGCAAGCTTGTACAGCTTAATTTGCATCATCCTTTATTCCTGAGTGCTGGGAAAATGCGTTATCGACTCCCAGAAAATTTGGAATCATACAAACTGGTGTGACATTGCATAAGTGTTTTGTCTCTTTTAATTTCTACAGGGTGTGATGGGGATAATTTTGAGCCTCTTTCACCATAAATTTAGCATGCTATTATATCTGGCTAGTTTTATTTATTTTTTATTTATTTATTTTTTTAGATTATGACCAAAAAAAAGCTCCCTTGTAATTATATATTTGTATTTTATTTTTGGGTAGATCTGTGAAAGAAAGGTCAAACCATTGTATTTGGTTGCCCTTTTGAAATCCCTGGGAGAAGAAAAATGTATAGTTTTTACAAAATCTGTGGACTCAACACGTCGTCTCTGCAAATTGTTGAATTGTTTTGAAGACTTGCAAATTGATATCAAGGAGTATTCTGGCCTTCAACATCAACGTGTAAGAAGGTAAGTTTTGATTCACTCTCTCTAAACAAATATTTTAAACTGTGTGCTGAATGCCCTCCTATTAGACCGGACTTTATGCAAAACTTTTTTCTGTAAGAACTTTTCATCTTTGGATGAGTAGTGTGTTTAGAGTTTAGAGTTTAGACTTTAGACTAGCTTGTTGTATGTTTGAAACAACTAATATTAGAAGGCTTCCCAAGAGTACTTTTGAAAGAAAAGCGATTGTTATCCTAAATTTATTGAAAATTATGCATGCCAGAGTTTTGACAAAAAACTGTTACTTTTCTGCAGCAAGACACTGAATGAATTTCGGAAAGGGGAGTTTCAAGTGCTTGTATCTTCTGATGCAATGACTCGTGGAATGGATGTTGAAGGGGTAAGAAATGTCATTAATTATGACATGCCTAAATACATAAAGACTTATGTTCATCGGGCTGGTAGGACCGCAAGAGCTGGCCATTCTGGGCGTTGCTTCACATTGATGTCAAAGGATGAGGTATGAAGTCCTCTTGTCTCGTTTGTCATTGCTAGTGCTAGATCCAGTTTTATGTCATTTGAGCTAACGGAAGAAACCGCAATATGAGTTCAAAATGACTACTTACTAGATTTGATTTATTTCTTTTCATTTTCTATTAATTTTTGTTTACTCATTCATCAACTAAGTCGATTACAAATAATATAGATTAGGTAAGTGGCTTATATATATATATATATATATATATGAAGAGGGATCCACTTACTCTAAGACTAAGTTTCCTTAGATTTATTTCATTCAATAACTCATATTTTACATCAAATTATAAGGATCCAACCGTTAAATTAAAATTTTTTAATACATAAATCAAGTCTGTAAATTTTTAAAAATTCAAAAATTATTTGATATACTGTTTTATTAATTTAAATTGATGGATAATCATAAAAATATTTTATACGTTGATTTGAATTAATATCTTTTTTTGGTTATATATAATATATATATATATATATAACCAAGTTTAAATAAGTAGTGTGATCCTTAGCTGACCTCACTTAGTGGGATATGGCTAGTATTGTTGTTGGGTCATGGGTGTTCTTACATACGTGTGGAGGGATTAGGTAGCTTTGCTTTACTGGTGTTTTCTTTCTGTTGTTTGTTTGTTTATTGTAAATAAATTTATGGAGTGTCTTTTATCTAGCCAACTCTTTGTATTCATCTTCTTGTCTTTATGGATTTCTTTTATTGAAAAAAATGATTTTATGCTTTCTGTTTTGGCTTGAATAGTAGTCATTCTGTAGTTGAGTTTAGTCAATCACCATTAGGATTTGTTGTCCCTGACTCACTAATATAATTTATCAATACTAGAGTATGAATATTTTGTTTTCCTATGTTGTATTTTATCCTTTGGAACCGTAAATCATTCTTAAACTCTTGTCCCATTCCAGATTGGGCGATTTAAGAAGATGATGAGAAAAGCTGAGGCTAGTGCTTTTCAGGAGCATTCTGTTCCATCCAGTTTGGTTGAGGCACTTACTTCTACCTACCAATCAGGTAAATATCTTAAATTCCATTTTAGGTGTAGATGCACAAACACCTTTCTCGACCACTGTTGTGGATGGATATAAACTACACATCAGATCAATTCCCATTGACATTGCTTGTAGCTTCATGTGCCTGTAATCCTCATGATAATTTCTTGTCTTCTTCGATCACTGTAGTTCCTGTCTTCCGTGGATCAACTGCCTCGCACTGAATGTTTTATCTTCTGCTAAATAATTGATTTCCCTACTATTACTAATCTGTGGGCAGATCTTCTGAAATCATTTTTGGTACCTGCAAAAGGAATGAATACAAAATATTACATTTGTCCTTTGAGAAAATTCCTAAAATAAGATGAATTTTGCTGTGCATGGACCGGGAAAAGCTCAACGCTTGAAGTTCTTTTTCTTCATGTTTTGGATTTGCATTAAATGTTTGATGTTTCATTAAGTCTCTCTCATGTGTTTCATTGTTGGCAGCACTAACAAAAATGAAGGAGATTATTTTGGAGACCCGGAAGAAACCCAAGAAATTAGAGTCTTGACAAATACAGATTAACGGATACACAAGGGAGTCTCCTACTGTAGTAGAGTTAATTCATTTTATATTTAATTAGAATGTTTTTAATCACTTTTATTTTCCTTGCTTTGATGTATCGGAATCAAAACTTGGTATTGGTGAGTTTTTTTTTTTTTTTTTTTTTTAAAGTAATGACAAGTTTAGATTAGAACAAGATATGATTTTATGTAAAAATAGACTACTAGCTCTTTTTTGAGAATTTCTAAGGGGGACAAGTGAGTTTACAGTAACTTACACATTAATCAATTGAATTATATCTTGATTTACTTGAGTTTTAATATATTTTTATTTATTACCACTTTTCTATTTTTATTTAAAATAAAAACAAATAAATAATATGCTACTCGTCTATTAACTGTTCCGGCAATGCTGGAATCACTGTTCGTTAAATATGAATCTAGTCGCATATTTTTTTAAACACTCATTAAAAATGAATATTAAAGCATCACATTTAAGAAGAAAAAACGATAGATAATTTATTAGGCGCTTTCTACCTTATAAACTCTTAATTGGTTGTGTTTATAAATACTCTATTCATATCAAGATTACTGAATGTGTCCCTACCTGGCACCTATTGTATTGGTGGACACCGATGCACGCACCGAATCTCAATCAAGGCTTTTATAAGTCACCATTTCCTTCCAAATCAGGTTTTGGATCCAAAATGCTTATCGAATTTCAAGATTACGCCTCATAGTTTCGAAGTTAGTTGGTGTCTGAAAAATATAACTGGGGATTAAAAAAAAATGGAATCTGTGACAGGCGACACGAGATCATATATTTGTAGTGTGAAACACAAACTGTTTTCGTTTTTTTTTTCCCTCCACACGATATCATGCATGATGATGTATTAGATGAAAGTTTTCATTATGGAAGTTAGATAAAATATAAGGGTCTCTACAGGCTAGGAAAACGAGTATTTAAAGAATAAGTTTGAATGTACTACGTAGTATTAAGTCTTTATCAATGTTTAGAAAACGGTTTGCGACTGTAATTTTTTATTGCAACATCATGATTTTTTTATTTACCACGATTATAATTGTGATTGCATTTGATCATATTTATCTGTAATTTTTTATAATGTCCAAGATCGTAAATAAACCACAATAGTAACTGTAATTACATTTTAAACCTTAAATCTTGATTAGACAACTATAACAGCGAGCAAGAATGGTATAACCTATAGGTTTTAAAAGAGAATGACATTAAAATGAAATCGATAATAAAATATTAATTAAAGACTTCTAATATAATTTGTATATAGAATTTTATTCCCTTTTTATAAACGGAATTTCGTTTCAAAATTTAAAACTGATTGTCTTTAAGGACTGAAGAAAACCACCCCGTCATCTAATTGGGGTTGGTGAAATGGCGATCATGTGTCAACAAAAAAAAAAAAAAAGAATGTCCTTTTGCACCACTAACAATCTAAAAATGGCTAAATTTTTTATATACGAAAATATTGTGATTAAAAAAAGTGATTCTTGCATTGCCGAAATATTCTATTAGTTTACTTCTCACTAAAAACATAGTTAAAATAAAAAAAAAATAATAATAAAATTAAAATAAATAAATAAATAAATAAAAACTCAGACTGATTTTGGTTTAAAACATAAAATGGAAAAATTATAGTTTGTTTTGTACAATTGGCATTTGTCACCTATTGTCTAGTAAGTGAAAAAGACAACATCCACGTAGAAATGTACAAACACGTTTGGCAAAAGTTGGGACCCAAACAAAGTGTGGCAGAAAAGACAACTTGAATCCAATTAATTAGGAGCTATCAGTGGGTCGCGTGCCTCTGTGCCTGTGACTGTCTTATTGGATTAAGCCCATCATCATGTGGGCCCAAAGTTTTGTTTCACCCCATTGTTATTATTTCTTTTACAGTACTTAAGAATTCTTTTTTTCACTTAACAAAACAAAGCATTTTTTAGCTTGATCAAATCCTTTTAAAATTTAATAATAATGTATATACATAAGACATAAGCAAGAGCAATTCAAAAAGAAAGAAAGAAATAAAATTCGAAAGATATGTAACCCTTTCCTAATCCATCCAACACCGACAACAAACCTAAAAAAGTGGATTTAAATCAGTGCTTGAAAGAAAAGAAAAGAAAAGAAAACAAGGAAAAAAAGACATCAATATTATTTTTAATTTTATGTTACGTGGTGCTCGAAGTTAGCGGTATCAACCAAACAGTGTATAAGTTATTGTTTGTTTGCGAAATGAGTTTATTCCACCCAACAGTTAAAGCTGTGAAATGAAAATCATTAGAGAGAGCTAGAGAGGCCCTCTGTCTTTGGTTCTTTGTGTTTTGCATGTGTCTGACGCGTCACCTTGTTAATCAAAACAGAGATAAGTTTTGATGCGTACTTTTACTTCACTTTTCTATATTTATTCTATTAATTAACTAATAAATTTGATTATTTATACATAATTGTTGAAAATTTTAATTTAAAAGAATTTGAAATATTGGCCAAATCTTCTAATTTCATTTAAAATATTTGCAAAACACACTAAGGTTAATTTTATATAACTATAATCAATCAAAGTTAATTTAACTAAGGATCGGCTGTGAAAACTTTGGGCAATATGAATAAGATATCGGACTTAAATTTTGTTGTCGGTTGATATAAAATAAATAAATAATCAACTTTTAAGTTTGGTCAAATTAGTGGATAGGATTTATTTAGTTTTGAACTTACTTCAGGAGATTAATTTGAAGCTCAAATTAGTGGAGATGATATAATCCATGGCAAACGTTGTTTGATCAATTCATCATCAAAATGTTCAAGTGCCTAAAGTCTGGCAAAGATGTTAATATTATTGTTTATATCAAGTAAAATTTATTTAGAAATTAATTTAGAAAGTGACAATTCTCTTTCTATCTATCTTATCCTTCTAAAACCTTTTTACTCCACGCGGAAGAAGCTAAAAATGGGGATGTATGGTGGAAATGACAACATATATTGGTTAGGTACTTGAGCTTTGAAAGGCAATAGCAACTTCCCTTGTTTGCATCCAAAGTCAGTATAATGCCAATTAATGCCACAAAGAATGCCAACCCATGCCACGCCATGCCCTTTTTCATTGATTCCCTCCTTATCAATAATATTTGCCCTAGCACCTCTTTATTGGTCCCCATATAAGTCAATGATCACGATAAGAGAGAGAGAGAGTGAATCTAACTATTATTTCATCACTAATTAGGGTCATTTCCTTTTTGCTTCTAAGTGAGGACACAAATCTTCATAATTCAATAGCGAAAGGGTCGTGGGTCGTTCCTTGTGCTCTCACTAGTGGTTAGAACTTAGAACGGAAAGGTAGCTTAGCTTTGCTTGCTAGCTAGCCTAACCAAACCCATCACGACTCTCTCTAATCACATTATCAATCATATCATATATATCTTTAATTATTTGTCTATTTTTATAATATCTATCTATATATATATATGTAAATAATCAATTGGTATATTAGTGAAAATTTTGAGAATATACATGATATGAAATATCATCTCATTATTCCTTTATCATATTGGATTATTTTAAAAATAATATAGTATTTTTAATTACGACTTCATAATTAAAATATTATATCTAAAATAGGAATTGAACTCTTATTTTTTTTTTAATTAAAAAACGAATATTAAACTATTTGTAGTAATATAACTTTGAGTTGTAATTCTCTTGTGGCCGTTGATGAAATAAATGGTTGGCTCGGCATCATAGTTGTGGTGCTAATAATCCTTTCCTTATAACAATACAAGTCGCTTTTTGTTGTACGTGTTCAACCCTGAATTATATTCCTGCTTTGTATATGTATAACATAATTTATTTGCTCACCAAGAAACATTAAATACATAAGAGTCTTATTTAAAAAAAAACAAATATACCTAGAGAGAGAGAGACCCACCATCAATCAAGCAAGTCCTTTTTTATTTGCCTTCTTCTTCTTCTATCCATCTCTGTGCACGCTGTCTGTGCAAGTGCCATTATCATTATAGAAAACGGAAGCCACAATACTTCTTGTGACTGCCATTATCATCATCAGTGTACTAACACATTGCCTCATAAATTGTTCATAACATCACCCACCTTCCACGTTCTACATTCACAATCTCATAAATAATTCCCACCCTATTTTCTCTGGACATGTTTTTCAACCTAGTGTATATACATTATTTACTCCAAATATTTTATCATAAAACTTCATATAATCAATTATTTTCTCAGATATGTGTGTATTACAATAAGAGAAAAATAAAATTTGACAGAAATAATAGTTATAATAATTATAAATTTTTCTTCTAAGTTTTTTACGTTAATCCTTCTATTTATTAATTAGGTAAAAAATAAAATATTTTCTAAACACTTTCTTTACCCAGTATATAAGTAGAAATATTAGTACAAATTTTTGTTAAAAAAAATATGAATTTTTTGACTAAAATATATTTTTAATCTTTATAAAATAAAAAAAAATTATTTTAGTGTTTTACATCTTTTTTTTATTTATTGTTTTTAGGCTAAAATCCTAATTTGATCCCATATTATATTTGTTTGTTTTAATTTAGTCCCTAATAATTTAAATTGTTGCAATGTCGGACTTCCATCCAAATTATTTAAACGGAGTTAACTGTTGGTCAGGTGAATGCCACGTGAATGTCATGCAGATGCATAGGTTGTAACGACCCGTCATGGCCGTCACACTACGAATAACATTACACACTACTGAAATATATATATATATATATATATAAATAAAGAGTATAATAAAATATTTCTTTTTCAATACAAGTTGCTAATCAAGCAACCAATGACAACCAAATATATACAACAAAATATGCTACCTTAAGGTAGCCTACAAAAAAAAATCTATCTCCAAGCACCTCTTGTGGCCTCTAGCAGCTATCTCCAGTCTATCCCTGCCCTGCTCCCATACAACGTATGATCATCGCAGTCAAAACCACAGGGAAACATGCAAGGATAAGCTAGAGATAATAAACAACTCATAATAATTTAATCTGCAACATAACAACTATAATCAATTTCACATCTGACACAAAAGATAAACAACACATATATATACACCTTAACATCATTCCAACTTAATTCCACATATCAACGT